TTAAGTAGCGATAAGCTTGCTTCCGAGAGCTGCGTTTCAAGTTTAGGGTTTAGGGTAAGTCAGGCCACGGCCAACGTCCGCACTCAGCCTTCTCCACATCAAGAAAATACCTGGAGGGCCATGCACCAAGTGCAGGGTTTAGGGTTTAGGGTTTAGGGTTTAGGGTTTAGGGTTGAGGGTACTTGGCAAGTGGATGTTGGGACCTTACAACCCGTTGCGACACCGGATAAGCAGCATGCCGGGTACTCTTACAGGCTCTCTTGGGGGAGAAGAGGCCACACTCAACGACCGACACGGCATCGCGACTACGTGAAGCAACCTGCTGGGGCATCAAGACGACTATGGTTCTATCTATCTATTGATCTATATTTACATATATATATATATGTAGCAGTAGTTTAGCTGCCCTGCACCAAACACAGGGCTGTGTGAGCCTGTCCATGTCTACAGACATATGTGGCTCATCACATCGGGTGCTGCGGGCACTTGCCGCAAGTCGCGGGCTGCGAGGTCAACAACCTCGGGCCGGATGGGCTGATTTGAGCACCACTGAAACATTCTCAAAGGCTTCCTTCACTTGAAGCCACACAAGCAGCTACATAACATACCATCCAATCCCACCTCTAATGCTTCAGCTTGATTCAACAAGTAGAAAATTGAAAACACCACGTGGTTGCGGCAAGCGATGTCTATCAGAAGCACATCCCATCAGCGACGAACCGAGCAGCTCGTTGCGGACTTTGAGCAAGCCGTCGATGCTTAGCGTGCCCGTTTTCTTGATCTCTTTCTCGATGCCTGTCTCACACGACCTTGAACCTTAGCCTGAAGCCTGAAGCCCTAAGGTTCGAGGATTCTTGAGGAAGGGGGGGGTTCAAGAGGGTAGGTAGCTACAGGGTGGGGCCCCCTTACTATACCAACTGTAGTTAAGGGACTTATAACCTAACTTAGGGCCCTTATAACCCAATTTAGGGCCCTTATAACTCTACTTATAACTAGGGGGCCCCACCCTGTAGGATTCTTGAGGAAGGGGGGGGTTCAAGAGGGGTAGGTAGCTAGGAGCCTCAGGGAAGCTTAGGAAGCCTTAGGGAGTGGTAGGGAGTATCAGGGAGCCTTTGGTTACATACCCCCCTTAAGAAGCCGATCATAAAGCCTACAGGGTGGGGCCCCCTAGTTATAAGTAGAGTTATAAGGGCCCTAAATTGGGTTATAAGGGCCCTAAGTTAGGTTATAAGTCCCTTAACTACAGTTAGTATAGTAAGGGGGCCCCACCCTGTAGACCCTTTTGGCGACTTTAAACCTTATAGGGTGCACCGGTGCTGAGGCATAAGCCCAATGACGGCATAAGGGCAAGGCATCGGCAACCTTTGTCTGCTTGGAGCTTGCAAAAGAGCCCTAAACCCTAAACCCTAAATTCTAAACCCTAAACCCTAAACCCTAAACCCTAAACCCTCTCTCTCTCTCAGGCATTCGAAACGTCAAGCCTGCCAGGGACAGCACACCCTAAACCCTAAACCCTAAACCCTAACACCCGGAACAAAAGGGATCCAAAGGCCGATACAGCCCTTGATGTGATTTTTGATGATCGGCCCTTAACAGCAGGCGCGGGTTGCGGGGTTCGGGTGAACCCTGCCGTCGGGAGCAAATGAACCATAAACCCTAAACCCTAGACCCTAAACCCTAAAACCATAAAACAGGGCATAGACCTCAGTAGGGATTATAGGAGATGCTGCGTGCCCACTACACGTGCAGTCCCGAGAATCCATGCTGCCTTTATCTTCTATCCTTGTGCCTGCAAGGGCTTCCTCTAAAGTAGCTTTAGGGCCAAAGCGTATACCACACAGGTACATGGCCCTTTATTAGGGGGTCTTGAGAAGGATGAGTTGGGATGTTCCCCCTGATACTAACAGTCCCTAATCAGGATTATCATAGGGGGTTTACTATATTTAATCCCTCCTAAGGGGGAACATGCCAAAGGGAAGGTTCTGGCATGGTCATCCGAGGAGCCGGTCAAGCAGGCCCGATCCGACTCGTTGGGAGCGCAGGGGATGTAGGGCGTCGGACAGCAGCACATCCAAATGTTCCTAGGTTTAGGGTTTAGGGTTTAGGGGTGAGGGATAGGGGTTTAGGGTTTAGGCTTTAGGGTCTAGGCCGGCGAATCCACGCTCAGACCCAAAACGTCAGCTTCCCAAATATGTTGTCTTTCGCGGTGTGGGTTCGCCATGTGTTGTGGCGGCAATGGGCACACCGATACACATACGCAATCACACACATACACACATCCACATGTGTATGTGTATATATGTATATGTATATGTAGATGTACATGCACATGCATATGTATATATATATATATGTATATGTATCATGTATAATGTATAATGACGAATGTATACATGACATAATGTATATGTATATACATGTAGATTTGTGTCTCTCCGCTCCCAGTTGTTCTCTCTCTCTCTCCCTCTCTCTCTCCATCTCCCTCTCTCTGTCAATCGAGGCTTTCACAAAGCGACTCGAGTGGTGCACAGAGGAAGGCTGAGGGGTGCAACAAAGACAATGCGCCATGCGCTTACAGTGGTGGGGTTTCAGGCGTCCGGTTTTGTTTGTTTTGTGTTAGATCGGAGGATCTGATTGGTCACCTGAGCAAAGTCAGCGCGGGCATCCGGCATGGCGAGGCAAGCCTTTCTCGTGGGGATGTTTCATGAGGGGTTCTATTGAACCTACAGGCCCAAAGTACCCCAACAACAGAAGATGCAACTTCATTTACCAGGTAGAAGATCCTATGACCAACCCCCTGAACATCTGAAACCTGGAGAGTCGGAAATCTGGCACCCTAAGCCCTAAACTTACACCCTAAACCCTAAACCCCTTTGCACAGGCTTGTCTCAGCCCGAAACCCTAAACCCTAAACCCTAAACCCTAAACCCTAAACCCTAAACCCTAAACCCTAAACCCTAAACCCCCTTAGAGTTCCGGGGGTTTCGGTAAGATCCTCTGGACAATAGAACTGGCAGTCTCAGGGGCTCTTCCACTGCGGGGGCCAGCATCTCAGTTGCTTCACCTGCGGGTTTAGGGTTTAGGGTTTAGGGTTTAGGGTTTAGGCCCGGTTTCCACTTTGAGGCGTTGCTTGATTTCCGGGCGTTCTGAGAGGTCTCCAAGCATGTTTGTTGGTCTCGAGGGGAGTGCACTCGAAGCCATAAATATCAGCATGATTGAAGAGGGCTCGTGCTCTCAGGCGTTGGGCCTGCAGCTTTCTGGCGTTGAACTTGTGGGTTGAAGCAATACATTTCCTGACCTTCATTCCGTGGGCTTTCGATCCACCCATAAACCCTATGTGCAGCCGGGCTGAAAGCGACATCACCCTAAATCCGAAACCCTGAATGGTGAACACAAAACCCGAAACTCTGAACCCAATCATGGATTATAGGGCTGAAGGTGGTTGGAGGACGGCCCCGCAGCTCACTGAGCCGTGCTGACGAGATGGATAGAACAGATAACCCTTGTTTAGGGCTTTAGTTTAGGGTTTAGGGTTAAGAGTTTGGGTTTAACATTCACCCCAAGCCCCCAAACGACTCTGTTCCTGCACCCCCCCCCCCCCCGTTTCTAGCATTTGCTGCTCAGAAAGAAGACAAATTGAACACTTGATTGAGTTTGCCAAGATCTAAGAGTCATTCCCCAAATCTACGTAAACCCGACACCAACAACCCTTTTTGAACGTATAAGCCCTAAACCACCCCCCTTCTCCCTTCAACAAAAGGCAAACTGAACGGTGAATGGCGCAGAAGGCCTTCGCAAATCTTCTCCAACTGGTCCAAGAAGCATCCGCTAGTCTGGACACGGTCTTGCACTTGGGAATCTAGGGCTGGGGCACAAACATCAGGCTATTGCAGGAAACCCTACACACTCAACCCCTAACATCCCTATATGAACCCTACACTCTACACCACTCAACCTTCTGGCACTTGCGGGTCTGGGGGCAAAGTGCTGATAAGCACTCTCTCGCATCCCTCGTCACGACAAAGCTTGCAAGGACAAGGCTGTTGTCGCTGTGGTCGTAGTCATCTTTGTTGTAGGTGCCATTGTCGTCGTCATGGTTGTTGTTATTGCTTCTGCTGGCACGAGTACCATTAATCGTTGCTGCTGATCCTGTTGTGGTTGTCGTCGTTGTTGTTGCTGCCTGAAATCAAAGCCTTCCTTGAGGATCAAATGAACCATAAGCAGGATGTGGTTCATATACCGTATAGTAGGGATTATAGTAGTATAGTATGTATATAAAATATGACCCCAATTTTAGGGTTGATTTGGTCTGAAATGTAGAAGCAGTTGTGCAGAGCATGGCATCTTAAATTAACAGTGGCGAACGAATGAGCTTATGAGCGGTTTCCGGTTTAGGGTTTAGGGCTTTTCCAGCTGGCCTGGTAATAAGGGCAGGCGGTGCGCTCCTACAGGGACAAGCAAGCAGATGCTGCTGGGCGGACGATCTTGAAGGACTGCAGGCGTTGAGTTCTGAGGTTCGGGTTTAGGGTTGGGGCATGTCTACGACACTACGCTGACATGCCGCTTGTGCGCCTATGTCTATTGCATATGAAACTGTTGGGATAAGGGAAGCCTCTGAGAAGGCTGAAGTGGAGAAGGGCACCATGCCTTTGTGTGCAGGATGTTCTGCATATGTAAGCATTGCTACAGCACAGGTGTGCAGGACGTTCAGCATATGTAAGCATTGCTTCGGCACAGGCGAGAGCAGAGCTCCGCATATGTAAGCATTGCGACTGGATTTTGGCTCAAGGCTCAAGCATGAAAAAGTGCGTGCCTGGATTGGGGTGTGAGGGTTTTGGGGGGTGTTTCCCGGGTGGTTCCTCTAGCTTAGGCTGGTCTAGCCTCTTCCGGACCCCCCCTAGCCCGGTGGTCCCCGTCCAGGGTTTTTTCCGTCTTGAGGGTTTGGTTGAAGCTGGGGCTTTCTGGGTGTAGTCCTGGTTTCCCTTAGATCCCTCTTTTCGATGGCCGCTCCTGCGCCCTCCGCCCCTGGTCCTCACGAGGATCAAGGGGTTATGAGCCCAACTGGTGCTCGGCGTGCCATTGATTCGAGATTGGAAGGTGAGACTGCTGGTCCGCGCTACGATCGTCATCCTGCTGGAAATGCGATGCCCAATGGGGTACTTTCGGCTGATGTTGTAAGGCGTGAGGATATGGTGCAGGCCTCACCTGGTGCAGCGAGTTTAGAAAGCGCTCCATGGCCACCAGCTATGACTTCAAGGACAGAAGATGTGGGACCGCCTGGTACATTTTCCTGTGATTCCGGGCTTCGCCAAGAAACGTCTTCCGTGTCTGCTGGGAATGTGGGGCCAACGATTCCGCACTTGGTCGCGCGGGCGAGTACGGATAATCACCCGGGAGGCTCCCAGGGTGGGACTGCCTTGCCAGTCCCGTCCTGGATGAGTCGTCTCGGGGATTATCTTCGCCAAGCTTCCGGACAGGTTGAGACGCTGACAACGACGCTTACGAGGCAACGAGTGTTGGGTAGTAGTGGTGGTTTAGTGGTTCAACAACATGAGCAGTTGCAGCAGCAGCATACCACTTCGCACCCCTCCACACCGCAGCATGCAACATACCCGGCAGCAGCGGCAACTATGTCTGGTGGTTTTTCTCCGACAGGACAACAAAGTGGGGATCCTCCTCTGTTTCCCAGCAGTGCTCGTCGTATTATGGAAGGCTGGGCAAGACAGGCTCCTTTGCTGCATGGTCCGAGGAGTGTGGGAACAGACGATGCTTCATCGGCGTCCATTCCGGTGGAGTTGGTGCAGGAGGAGGTGAGAAGACAAGTGGAAGCGGCCTTGGCAGGCCAGAAGGGAAGGCTTGAGCGCCTTCAAGAAGAAAATGAGCGATTGCGGGAGATGGCTTTTGGGGGTGGTGGCGATGTGAAAGGACAAGGCCGGGGTGGGGCTCTATGGAATGAGGCGCAGCGGCAGATGAGGGAGCAGTCTGAGCTTCCTGAGGATCGTGGTGTACCTCATGGAGATCGGGCCTACTCAGCATCGCAAGTGCTTCATGAGGATCGTGGTGTACCTCATGGAGATCGGGCCTCTTTCGCAACTCCAAGGTGCTTCATGAGGATCGTGGTGTACCTCATGGAGATCGGGCCTCTTTCGCAACTCAAGTGCTTCATGAGGATCGTGGCGTACCTCATGGAGATCGGGCCTCTTTCGCAACTCAAGTGCTTCATGAGGATCGTGGTGTACCTCATGGAGATCGGGCCTCTTTCGCAACACATGCACTTCGTGAGGATCGTGGTGTACCTCGTGGAGATCGGGCCTCCCAGCATCTCATGCTTCGTGAGGATCGTGGTGTACCTCATGGAGATCGGGCCTCTTTCGCAACTCAAGTGCTTCATGAGGATCGTGGCGTACCTCATGGAGATCGGGCCTCTTTCGCAACTCAAGTGCTTCATGAGGATCGTGGCGTACCTCATGGAGATCGGGCCTCTTTCGCAACACATGCACTTCGTGAGGATCGTGGTGTACCTCATGGAGATCGGGCCTCCTCAGCATCTCATGCACTTCGTGAGGATCGTGGTGTACCTCATGGAGATCGGGCCTACCCAGCATCTCATGCACTTCGTGAGGATCGTGGTGTACCTCATGGAGATCGGGCCTCTTTCGCTCATGCACCTCGTGAGGATCGTGGTGTACCTCATGGAGATCGGGCCTACCCAGCATCTCATGCACTTCCTGAGGATCGTGGTGTACCTCATGGTGATCGGGTCTTTGCAGCAACAAGTGTGACTTCTGGGGTTCGGGGAGCTCTTCGGGAAGGTCGTCAACCAGTTCCGTCGATGTCTCGGGCCCATGATGGTCCTCGTGCACAGAGGGGCGAAGCTGGTGCCAGGTCAAGAAGTGCAGAAGGACATGGCGAGCTTGGGAACAGGCCAAGGAATGTGTATGCTCGTGGTTATGGTGCCAAGCGATCTGCCTCAGCGAGTCCGTCGCCAAGTGGTGGTAGAGGAGTTGTGGGTGAGAGGTTGTCTGGAGGGGATGTCTGTGGTGTCCCGCCGTTTGACCGAGCCTTCAGGGCTCGCTTGGAGCCTGAGCTAGGGATAAGGGGAGATTATGAGCCGCTGAAGAGACCTGAGGGAGTTGCAACCCTTGGTGCGCCTTGTGAAGCTCCTCCTGGTCTCAGTCCTCCCGTTGCTCCAGGAAGCGAGCAACAACCAGGCGATGTGGCGCCTGCAGCTCCGTCAAGCCCTTCTCCGATGGACATTGTGCTTACCGGTATCGGGCAGCTGCAACAGATGTTGCTGAAGAAGGGAGACGGGTTGGATGTGGATAAGGCGTCGCCGAATTTTCCGATGTTGCCTGACTACACTCCGGAATCTGGTGCCATAGACTTCCAGGACTGGCTGTATCTTGTGGAGCAACAAGTGTCTGCTATGGCGGCAAGCGCTGGCGAGTGGTGGAAACAAGTCATGGGTTCGGCCTTGGAAGCATACCAGGAGTATCAGGCGCTTTCGCCGATCAAGCGGCTTGGGGTGAAAGCAAGGCTATCAGAGGAGCTTCAGGACGGCAAGTACCAGAAGCTTGCGAAAAAGGTGGCAGCCTTACTTCTAGCAGCGCTTCCGACAGGTGTCCGAGATGAGCTAGTGGCCTATCGTGTGCAGGGGACTCATCAGATACTGTTCAGGCTGATGGCTGTGTACCAGCCTGGGGGCGCTCAGGACCGGGCACAACTTCTGAAACAGTTGGAGGTGAGTGAATCTCCAGGAACAGCGACGGATGCAGTGGTTGCATTACGGAGATGGTATCGCCTGTACCAGCGAGCTTTGGATCTTGGTGTTTCCTTGCCAGATGAGTCCGTCCAGGTGAAGTCTTTGGGGGTCTTAACGAAGAAGGTGGCGGAGACAAATCAAGACTTTCGCTTTAAGGTGTCCTTGGCGAAGGCGGAGCTTCAGATTGACACCAGACCCACCTCGGAGAATGTGTTGAAGTACTTCCAACATCTCCTTGCAGAATGTGAGCAGCTTGGGGCTACTGGGAGAAAGGCTACACCGTCACAGGCATCGGAGGCTCCCGGACCCAAACTGAAGGGCATGCAGCAACAGCCCTCAGATGCCGGAAATACCACTCAGAGGCCAAAGGCCAAGGCCTCTCCACCGCCTACGAATCCGACAAAGCCGTGTTCATGGTTCACTACTGATGATGGTTGCAGAAATGGAAAGAACTGCAGTTTCAGGCATTCGTGGGAGGGTCTTCAGCGAGCCGAACGGTGCCTCCTTTGTGGTTCGACGAAGCACAGGGCAAGGGATTGTCCTACGAAGAAGGTGAGTCCTACTGACAAACCGGCCCCAAAGCCGAGGTTGGCCAAACAGCAGGCTGCAGCAGCTACTCCTACAACAGGGGCAGCTTCCTCGGAAGGTCCTTCGCTTTCGTCAGGTCCGTCGGTGCCGGCTGGAGATGCTACTCGTGAGCAGCCTTCAAGCCTTCCTCCTTCAACCTCAAACAAGATCGACACGGAGCAGGTGGCGGCGATGTTGTCCGAAACAAACAAGATGCTGAAGGCCTTGACTTCCACTCAGGCTCAGGGCTCTGGCACAGGTTCGGCTTCTTCGGCGCCCTCGGATCCTTTGGGGGTTATACAGAGACAGTTGGAGGATTTGCGGCGACTGCGAATGCTGGTGGTGCTTCCGGAGAGGGTTGGCAATGAAGACTTCCGTGTGAAAATGGATGTGTATGAACGGTTGCTGCAGACTGAGCCAGAGGCGGTTGAGAAGGATTCCGAGGAGAAGATGGCCCTGTTGGATTCGGGAGCGAGCCATGCCTTTCGGGTTGCTGTTGACGATCGTGAGGTGGAACAAGGAAAGTTGGTGAAGGTTGCCTTGGCCAATGATGATCACGTTGTCCTTTCGCAGAACGCTGGTGGAACCCTGTTGTCTTCGCCTTCTACGAACCCTTCGGGTGGTGGAACGATACTACCTATGGGACAGTTGGTGCAGTTGCTTGGATGCACGGTACGATGGTCTCCGACAAGGCTTGAAGTTCGACACCCGATCCATGGCAAGTTGCGAGTGAAAGTCAACCATTTCTGCCCAGAGCTGACCGAGGTGAGCGCGCTACAGCTCATCAAGGAATTGGAGGAAAAACGGGTTGGCGAGTTCACGAAGACCTTGGAGGATATGGAGAGGCAGCTCAAGGAGATTGAGCTCTCGGGCTGTGGAGATCGCGGTTGGGAACAGCACCTCATGGATCTGGTGGAAACTGGGGCTCGAACGAGTTTCTGTGGCTTCATCCAGAAGGTGCCCTATTTGCAGGGGGTGACCCCGGAGGCTTTCGCGACCATCCCTGAGGAGTTCCCGGTGACGAACAAAGAGGGCTGGAGGCTCTTGAAGGGCATGCCGTGGAGTAGAAGGAAACGAAGGAGTATGTTCCTTAGCAACAACTGGCTGGTGCATCTCTTCTCGGGAGACAAAAGGAAGAAGGGGCTGGCTTCTTCAAGCGAATGGAAGGCCAGTCTGCACCGTGATGATGTTCTGGTGGAGGTGGACCTGAACCTTAGCAGTCACTTCGACATGTTAAAGAAGGATGGCATCTTCAAGCTGCTTTTGTGGGGAGCTGCTCGGGGCAAAATTAAGGCTCTATTTGGGGGACCGCCTCGAAGAACCTTTCCCTTTACAGGAAATGAGACGATGCTGTCCTCGCAACATGTTCGGGAAGTTCAGCTGGTTGCCAGGGCGATGATCCTTTGGTCAGTAGCTTCTGAGGGTAGGAGGATCCTTTGGAGAGAGGGATCTTTAGAAACCCCGGGTCCTGGAGTTGGTTGGTTGCTGGAACATCCGAGAGTTGAATCGGGGAAGGTTCCTGGACTAGAGCAAGGCGACAACAAGGAGAGTGACCTTGAGGAGCAAGAGAGGCTGGCTAAGGAATGGTTCGACCTGGGCAAGTTTTCGCATCGTGAGTGCCGCATGTTGTTGGAAGAGATGAACTTCAAGAAGAACTTGCGAGCCTCATCCCGAGGCGAACAAGAAGGATCTGTGGTGCTTGGCGCATATGCTCATGGCGGCAATCGGGGGGTTACTACAGAGGCACTCCAGAGACCGTGGTTGACGAAGTACCTGAACATGTTTATGCGGTGGAATGTGGAAACGCAGCTGCATGAGGATTGCTCTTGGTCGGCTTTGTTGGTCATGGAGACGAATGAAGTGCCTCGACATCGAGATGTCCGGAACGCTCGTGATAGTAACAACTACTTGATTGGGTTGGGCGATGATGATCCTGGCCGCGAGGTTTCCTCCGGTCTGTGGCTTGAAGGGGACCTGGATGGACAGAATGGGTTGGGCGATGATGATCCTGGCCGCGAGGTTTCCTCCGGTCTGTGGCTTGAAGGGGACCTGGATGGACAGAAATTTGGTGGTGGAGGGAGATGTGTCGAAAGGTCCTGTCCATTCTCTGGCTTTGAACAATTAAAGGGCTGTTTGGTTGAGATCTCTGGAAGGATGACGAGGTTCAATCCAAAACAACACCATGCGTATGTGGGGAAGGATCAAACTCAGAAGGAGCTTCTCGTGGCGGCCTACACACCTCTCGGCCTCGACAAGTTGCCGGATGAAAAGGTCGGGAAACTTCGATGCTTGGGTTTTCCGATACGCTCAACCTTGGAATGGGATGAGGGCCCAGCGCTACATGGAAGGGACCAGGTTCGTGAGGCTCAGGAGGAGCTGGAAAGTGAGGATGAGGAGGAGGCCAATGGACGGGTGCCATGCTACGACCTGTTTGGAACGACCATGTGGAAAACCTTTGCGAGGATGTACACCATGGATGAGGTCAAGTGTGATTTGGAAAACTTGGGACCTACGACTTTGGGTACGAACCTCAATCTCTGGTCTTTGGAGGGTGAGGATGGTCATGGTCTGAAGGCCGGTACAAGAACAAGTCGATGGCCAACGGGGATGATAAGTTCTGTCTGTGATGCTCTATGTGCTTGGCCCGGTTTTGCTACGCGAGAACATGCTTTGACCAGTATGGTTCGAAGGCTGGGAAGGCGAGATGGTGAAGAAGGTGAAGGGAAGCTCGCTAAATTCAGCTTGGAGGAATGGCGCATTCACCTGAGACGGGACCATTTGCCATACAGGAAGGATTGCCGGGAGTGCATCCAAAGGGCGACGGGCAAGCCACATAGGAGAGTCGCTCATCCTTCAGCGTATGTCCTGAGCATTGACACTGCTGGTCCGTTTAGGGCGACGGGCACTGATGGAGCGCGCTACCTGCTAGTCGGGTGTTTCCGCTTTCCTAAGATCCCAGAAACAGGGGACCCTGAGCAGTCTGGTGTGCAGCCTGGGGACGTGGACAAACCGGATGACGAGGGTGATTGGTTGCCTGGGATGGAGGGCGAGGATGTCGTATCAGAGGTTCCTGCTACTGAAGGTGCGCCTGTAGGGGTCTCGGAGGAGCTTGGCCCTGATCCTGCTGCTATTCGTGAGGAAGATGATCCGAAACAGGAGGAGATCAAGGCCCTGGAGCGTATGTCTGAGCCCTTCGAGTTCGAGTCTGCCTATCTTTGTCGACCCTTGAAGACCAGGAAGAAGGCGGAAACACTCAAGGCCTTGCAGGAGATGTACCTGTCTCTAAGACAACGGGGCCTGCCAGTCTTACGAGTACATTGCGACCGAGCAAGGGAGTTCATGAACGAGGGTATGGACATGTGGGCAGCGGCGAGGGACATCATAGTCACGAAGACTCAAGGCGATGATCCGTCACAAAATGGGGCGGCGGAGCGGGCTGTTGGTTTCATCAAGGGCCGGGTGCGAACTTTGCTTGGACAGGCCAAAGCCTACAGCAAGCTTGGAGATGCCGTAGTGAGATCGTGGTGGTCAAGGGCGGCATCAACGATTTGCCAACAACACGCTGCTCAGGCCTTTGGAAGGGGCAATCCTAGCGTCGCTCCTTTCGGATCACAGGTGTTCATCAAGAGGAAGAGGTATGGCCAAGGGGGCACTGACTTCGAGGACAAGTGGATCCAGGGGTCTTATTTGGGGCCTGTTGAGACAGTCTCCCATGGTCATGTTGTTCGCACCGTGCAGGGCAATGTTTGGTACACAACAAAT